TTACACAAGTCTATTCACTCTCCTGGAGCCCTGGTGGTGCAGTGGTTAAGAGCTACAGCTGCTAACCAAAAGGCTGGCAGTTCGAATCCACCAGCCATTCCTTGGAAACCCTATGGGGTAGTTCTACTCTGTTCAACGGGGTCACTATGAGTCGAAATCGACTTGACGGCAATGGGTTTTTTGGGTTTTATTCACTCTTCTACTCTACTTGATGACTATTTTTCACTTCACCCTTTCTCCTCAAGCCTCTAACACCTTCTCCTCATTCTCAATCTCTATTCACAGAGAAAATAAAAACAATCAGAAGAGCACTTTATTGTGCTCTACTATCACATCTATCAACCTTCTAACTTTGTTTCCATATTCCTTCCCTTCCCTTTTGTTATTATGAATAGTCCATGTGCCTAAGACCAGACTCTCCCATTCACTAGTACCAGCTGCCATATGGCGACCCCATGTGTACAGAGTAGAACTGCGCTCCATAGGGTTTTCAGAACTGTGACCTTTCAGAAGCGGACCACCAGGCCTTTCTTCTGAAGCGCCTCTAGGTAGGTATGAACCACCATCCTTTTGGTTAGGAGCTGAGTGCTTAGCCATTTGTGCCACCCAAGGACTTTCCCCATCCACTAGATTCTATTTCTTTCATTTACTCAAAGACATAGCTTTGGCAATTGTGCCCTTTCTTTCCTCTAAATGTTATTCTGTGTCCTGCCTCCCTTTACTGGTCATTCCTATCATTAATACAACAAACATGCTATAATATAGTCCATCTAAAACAAAACCCTCTTGACCTCATATCCCCCTCCCGCTACTGCTCCATTTCTCTGCTGTCCTTACAGGACAACTCGTAAGACTACCTTGTTTCCAATTTCTCTCTTCCCTTTCCCTCTTCCTTTTCTTTCTCTCCTCTCCCTGCCCTACAGAAAAGTATTAACCCAAAGAAAAACTGAAAGAATAAGCACTTTGGATTCTGCATCTAAATCTATAAATTATTTACAACTAACATTTCCTTACATTTGCTTTATTTCATTCTTTTTATAGATATATACACATACAGACATACTTTTTTGGGGAGGGAGGTGGAGTAAAACCATTTGAAAGCAAATTGTAGATATTATGACACTTTTCCCCTAAATACTTCAACACGTATCTCGTAAGAACAAGGATATTCTCCTCATAACCTAATACGCTATTATACCCAAGAAACTGTAATACTGATTTAGTAGCATCATTTAATACACAGTCCATATTGAAATGTTCTTAATTGTCCCACAATTGTTCTTTATAGCAGTATTTTTTTTTCTTGCTACAGGATTCAATTAAAGCTTATGCATTGCTCTTGGTTGTTATGTCTCTTCAATCTCCCTTACAATCCTCCCGGCCTGGCTTCCGTCTGTCATGACACATTTTTAGAGAGTCCAGATTAGCTCTCTTTTAGAATGTTCCATGTTTTGAATGCCTGATTATTTCCTCATTATTAGATTCAAGCTGAATGTTTTTGGCAAGAATATTACATAGGTGATTTTGTTAATGTTAGTTTATCACTCTGGTGACGCTAAATTTGATCATTTGGTTAAAATGATGCTTGCCAGATCTTGTCATTATGAAAGTATCTTTTTCTCTCTATAATTATTATGTAAGATGATACTCTGACTTCATATGAATATCCTGCTCCCTAAAGGCCTTTTACCTAATCGATTTTAACATCCACTAATGATTTACTGGAATCAATTATTACATTGGAGGTTACAAAACAGTAACTTTTTTAATTCTATCATTCCATTCACATTTATTTTCTGATATTCTTTCTGAAGAGTTTTCCTGACCCCATCCTTTTTGCTTGAGTATCACTATAGACTCATAGTCTTTTTTAAAAAAAAATTCAATATCATAATCCATTATCATCTTTTTTTTTTTTTTTTAATGTTTCAAATGTCCTAATTTGACCAATGGGAGCCCCTTTAAAACAGCCTTTATGTTCTTTCAACATTTCCATTGGTTTTGTGCACTTCCTTTCTTTCTGGCACAAGAGCTGTTTCTGGCTCATTTTCTACTTTCCTTGCCCCCAGATTACAATCAACCATTTTTCCAAGTCTGGTTCCTTTTAGTGGGGAATGGTATTTAGAAAATATGATCTGGACGCTCAAGGTGCTCGTTGGTGTTTTTCCTGAAAATGACTTCCTATCAGTTCATAAAAATCGTCATTCTTTTTTATGATTAAACAGTACTTCACTATGTAGATGTACCACAGCATATTCAACCAGTCTCCCACAGATGAACATTTAGATTATTTCCAATATTTCTAACTATTACAAATAATGCCACAAATAACGTTATGTGTATGTCATTTTATACTGGTTGAGATATACCTTCAGGTAATGTCCAGTAAATCTCACATTCTCTCTTGAACCTATTACAATCAGGTTTTTGCCTGTATTAACTCTTGTCAGATCACTGATGACCAACATGTTGCTAAATCCAATGGTCAGTTCTCATCTTACTTGACTTCTCAGAAGCATTTAATACAGCAAATTATCATTTCTGCCTTCTTAAAAGACTTTTTAAACTTGACTTCCAGGATACTACTCTCTCTCTGCCCTGACCTTCTCACAGTCTTCTTTGCTGGTTTCTCCTTACTTCACTGACCTCTAAATGTTAGAATGCTCTCGGACTCAATCTTCAATCCTCTTCTGTTTCCTTCAGGAGTGTTCCCTAGGAGACATTACTTACGCTGACAACTCCCAAATTTCAGCCCAGATCTCTCTCGGAACTCTAAGTCATATTTTCATCTCTTACCTGACGTTGTGTTTTGAATGTGTAAAAGGTATCTCAAAGTTCACATGTCCAAAACCAAACCCTTAATATTCTCTCCAAGTGAGCTCCTTCCACAGTCTTCCCATCTCTGCTAATGGCAACTCCGTCCTTCCAGATCCACAGGCTAAAAGTATTGGAATTATCCTTGACTTCTCTCTTTCTCTTATATTTCGCATCCAAATCCATCAGCAAATCCTGTTGGCTCTACTTCCAAAATATATACAGAATCTGACTCCTTCATACCACCTGTACCATTACTACTCTCCTCCTAGCCACCATCATCTTTCTAAATGAATTTAAATAGATTGTTACCTAATCCCTGCTTCCTCACCCCACTCTCTTGGGTATTCTCAATACAACAACCTTAGATCACTCCACTCTTCCGCTCATATTTCCAATGGCTTCCCTTTTACTCAGAATGAAAACTAAAATTCCTACAATCCCTATGCAGTCTGGCCTCCTATCTCTCCTCTGACCTTATCTCCAACTGTTTTCCCCATCTCTCACTTGATGTTCTTTAACATGCCAAGCCTGCAGGGCAATTGAGGATTTTTGCACTTTGATGTTACCTTTGCCTACAATACTCTTTCCCCAGATATCCACAAGATATCTTCTTCACTTCTTTAGGGTCTTCTGTTTTAGTTTGGGAAGTGGTATAGAACAGGGGAGGAGATAGAGGATCTAACAGCTTCTTAAACAGCTTTTATTCAATTTTCTAAAATAAGGAGTTATTTTAGCATCACCCCTTCACCTTCAGTATTCAAAGCTTTAAAAATCAGCAGTATAAATCTGCTTGGTTCTCAGTTTTCCCCACTTCTGTTTTAGAATTAGGTTACTTTAGGTCTTCTAGTTACCACTTGTAGCTCTGGTGGTGCAGTCATTAAGGGTCGTTAAGAGCTTGGCTGCAAACCAAAAGGTTGGCAGTTTGAATCCACCAGCCGCTCCTTGGAAACCCTATGGGTCAGTTCTACTCTGGGTTGCTGTAAGTCGGAATCGACTTGACGGCAACGAGTCTGGTGGGTTTTTTTTTTAGTTACCACTCATTCATCTGTTTTCAAACTTCCAAATGTGTGTTGCTGTTTTCTTCTCTTTTATGTGTCGTCCCTGTGGGCTTACAACACTTAAAAAAAAAAACCAACCTATTTACTATAGTTTCAGTGGGGGCTTGAGAGGGAGTAAAACATGATATGTAGGCCATTCTGCCATCTTAACCTAGAAATTTTAATTCATTTTTTTCCATAATTTTTTTTACTGTACTTTAGATGAAGGTTTACTGAGCAAATTTGTTTCTCAATACACATATTGTTTTCTGACATTGGTTGTCAACACTCTCCCCTTCTTGACCTTGGGTTCCCCATTACCAGCTTTCCTGTCCCCTCCTGCCTTCTCATCCTTGCCCCTGGGCTGGTGTGCCCATTTAGTCTTGTTTTGTTTTATTGGCCTGTCTCATCCTTGGCTGAACCTCAGGAGTAACTTCAGTACTGAGATAAAAGGGTGTCCATGGGTCATATCCTCAGGGTTTCTCTAGTCTCTGTCAGATCAGTTAAGTCTGGTCTTTTTTTGTAAGTTAGTGATTCATTTCATTTTTTAAATACATAAGAAGGGCAAAAAGTTTTATAAAAGTAAACAAGGAAGTACTACAAACTTTAAAAAAATAAAAAAAAATTACAAACACAAAAATTAGTAGTTCTGAGTATTTGTTCTATTGTAATTTTTTATTTATTATACATCTACTATATTCTTGTATATGTATTCAGTAAAAGAACAACAGAATACTATTATTTTATCAGTTGGTATTATTTGTGATAATTCTAATTCATTTAATGACACAGGAGACCTCTCTATATTTTCTGAAAAGTGGAACCTTGTTCATTATTTAAGAAAAAAAAGTTTCATTTATTACAAACAATATACCAGGAAATTCTTTTAAAATCTGTAGTTACAAAGGAGTGATATCTATAGAAAAATAAAATAAGCAGTGGTCTTTCCCACTCACCTAGGCTTAAGGTCTAATTTACCCTAAGTGAGGAAGGTTATTTCAAAGCATATCTTTATATATCACCAGATAACGCCAATGAAGAGTATACATCAACAATGATAAACAACATAATTATGATAAGTATATTATTATCACTACTATATTATGGCAACTTTCTACAAACTTATCAACTAGGAACAAAACTTACCTGTCTAAGAATATATCTGGGAGTGGTGGATAGGTTTGCATGTCAGGTACTCGCTCATGGACTATAACCATAATGAAGGATGTAAATCCAAATACTATAAAAACATATATACAACTCAGTATGGTCTTCCAGTACTCTGGGTCCAATCTTCGAACAGAATGTTTGTTTTTACCATTCATGTACTGGAACTGATCAGAATTCAAGTCAGTGATGGGTCCATCACAGTCATGTGAAGGATCGCCATTACAGAGCCACTCTGAACCCTGAAGAGCACTGATGAAAGGGGTCATGGAACCCATGGGGCTATCACTGTTGTAGTCCATCTCTTCTAAAACATCAATATGTACTTTCTGCAATTTGCGAACTGAGAGCATTAACCTTTTAATGTCCCCTAAGACTTTGATTTCCAGAGGAGGAGACCGGAGATCATATTCAGTCAGTGTTAGCAATGTGATTCCATCAAGTCGGTGCTTATTGCATAAGATGTCCACATACTCAAAAAAGCCTTCATCTTTCAGCCAAACAGCTACATGCTTGGTAGTCCAGCGGCGAATGCACAGTTGATTAGGACCTGCCATTTCCTCTTCCACTGCCTGCCAAGGGAAAAAGAAAAACAAAACAGAAATTTACCTGCACTGACCTACTGGCTTCTAAAAGAGAGTGAAAGAAACAAAAAATATTCAGTATGAGTGGTTTTTAATAATAATAAATTTATATATATAATATATAACTCTAATAAAAGAATAAAGATAATGGACCAAACATTTTTACAGGAAGAGATTTTACAAATGGCTTTTCTACAGCACATCAGTCATGACTTCATTAGAAAAAACCTACTGTGGGGAACAATTGAGAAAAATCCCATCTTAATACTTAATACTAAAAATGAGATGTCTAGATTTGTTATATGCAAAAAAAAAAATCAAATTTCTGAAACCCTCATGTTCATGGAAAAAACATCCCCTCGCCCCCAGAAAACCCGCAAAGGCAGATAACTATCATTCCAGAAAACCCCTTAAACTAAGCATATTTCTACCTACTATACATATTAATGATTTCTGTAACAGATACAAAACCATTAAAACTAGATAAAATTTGAACCTAAACAGAGCAATTCTTTCTGTAGCTTCAGTATTCTATTATAGAACTGAGTAAGACATTTCATTCTTAAACTTTCATTTGGATTTTAGTAATAAACTTTTAGAAAGAAAACTGTCATTTCAATGTGCCCATAAATTTGAGTTCTCAAACTTTATACTGCAGTTATAAAGGGCCAGTAATGTGTTATGCTTCAAAAAATACTAACATCTTTTACTACTTTGATCCCATACAACTGTTTATGCTCTTTTTCCATTTTAAAACTTTTAGTTACTTAGGTCTATATAAGGCTTACAAAGTATATCTGATACGTGGGAGACAAAGGCCTACATGGAAAAAATCTATTTTCCTAAAGTACTTTTTCAACTACTAAAGTCTGGGTTTTCTGACATTTTTCAGGTCTTTAAAGACCATATTTCCTTCTCAGATGATTTTTAAAAAACATTTGAGGCAAAAGTTAAAACATAAAAAAGAAAAAGAATAAAGAATGATACAACAAATACCCATGTGCCAACTACCCAGCTGGAAAAAAATCAAACAGTTCCAATTCAAATATTCCGTTTCTTGATCTAGGTATTAGTTATATGGGTGTGTGTGTTTACATTTTGTGAAAATTCATCAAGCTGCATACTATGATCTACGCTTTTCTCTATTTATGTTAAACTTTATAAAATTTTGCTTTAAGAAGCAAAACAAAATGTCACCTATACAAATGAATGCCCTTCCCTGATAGTATTCCTTTTCTCTCCTCCTGATTTTGGTGTTTATCCTTCCCTATAACATGTATTTTTGACTATGAAAAACCTATGTTTCCTTATGCTGAGGAAAATAAAAAGCTAATACTGCTCTGCATTCTTCCCCTATCCACATAAACTCTTGGCATGAAGACTTGTAATTCATCCACAAATGAATGCCATGTAAATGTCAGTTAATCATTCTGTATTTATTGCTTAATTACTAAACAGCAACCTTAGTTTTCAGAAGGCTTAAATCATATTGTTTCCCCCCAAACAGACACAATTTTTAATATTATCAACCCTCAATATTTTTTGGTCTTAGAAAATTAACATCACATCCATTTACAAGTAGTCTATATTTTTTAAAGGCTATCTAATTCTTATATACTATACAGCTACAAAAACTCTTTTGAAACTTGTTAGCTATAGTATATTATCACCATCCAAAGGCCAAGTAATTATGATTTATTCATTTTAATACATGGAATTTACACACATTGATGTACATTTCATATCATATTATATAGAAAATGTCATTAAAAATATGATTTTGTTATGTTTTAGTTTATATGCATAGCCAGATGGTTTCACCCTACTCACTATATACATAATTTCTTTTCTCAAGGTATGATCTGACTAAATTACTTCATCCTTGGATATCCAATAAGCATATGCTAAAAACTACAGCAGTTATGATATAGCAAATCTTTGAAAAAGGCTCATCTCATACAAAACTATTTCTTCTGTCATTTTATTTCGATTCTGCTACCTTTCCTCTTTTTCTAACACCTTACCACTAACGGGTTCCAAGTCACTCCCATCCTTGTAGCATTATTCTTCAGTATAGTTTCATCTCCTACACTGCTCAGAATGATTCTTCTCCTCTTTTATTTCTTATTTTGTCTTAGCTAACCAGTTCTTCACGCCCTCAACCATGATAACAAAAGTCAGGCTTTGATGCTGCTGAAAAAATGAGTTATCATACATGGAAGCCTCCTGGAAGTCTTTGAGCCCACTGAGGCAATGCCCTGAAAATCTGACTCATTCTCTGTGTCATCAGGTCAGGACATGTCATTTAATTATATGCTACTACATACAGTTAGAGGCCCATCTTAAATTGTTATTTAGCTAACATTGTGAAAACCTGCATTAAAGAAGTATATTAAAAGATGATAAAAGGCTTTGGGGTCAATTTAATTTTTATGTTGTGCTATGGTAATCACAGGGAACAGCAGACTATGAACAAAGGGCTTCATATAAATTTATTTATCATATCAATCAATAAAACGAAGAAATTAGGTTAATAAATATATAAGAACACTTTCAGCTTTAACCAACAATCGATACGGATCAATTGCCAGTTACAGGGACTTTTGCTTCTGGTCAACATGGAGTAACAGGGACCAGATTTACTCACCCACCTGAAACAACTAAAAAATGGACAAAATATACCAAAAAAAAAAGTTCCAAGATACCAGACATCAAGTAATGAAGGAGAATAATCCCTGAGAGACAGAAAATAAATAGTGAGCACTACAACTGCTCCAGTTTATTGGCTTCAGAGTGTTTCCAAGCCACAAGGGGATGCAGGAGAGGACTGAGTTAAGGAGATGGAGCCGAGATTCTAGGGGGATAAAGGAGGCTAGTGTTCATGGAACAGAATACTGGAGAGGAGAAAGATGCACAGAGAACTCCAGACATCTGCTGAAGATCTCCTTTGACTATTCAGCTGAACACCAATCAGCGCACGTGTGTGAGGAAACTAACAGAGGCTAAGAGCTACCCAAAATGATTAGAGAACAGTATCCAGCACTCACAAAAGGCTGAGAAAGTGCCTATATCAAACAGCCAGATGGAAAAGTCTCATGGTTCATGGGCCATTGGGTAGATCAGGCTTCAGTAATGGGGCAAAATTAACTCTAAAGCAGTGTTCTCAACTGGGGGCAATTTTGCCCCTTCAGGGGACATATGACAATGTTTGGTGACATTTTAGATAGTCACAACTTGGAGGAGGGGGTTGTGCTACTGTCACCTATACAGTAGAGGTGAGGGATACTGCTAAAAATTCTAGAATGCACAAGACAGCCACTGACAGCATAGAATTATCCGGCCAAAAATGTCAACAGTGCTGCTATTCAGAAACCCTGCCTTAGACTAAACACTTCTCTGGTCCCACCTAACAAATCTTTTTTTTTTTTTTTTTTAATTTTTTGTACTTTAGATGAAGGTTTACAGAAAAAATAGTTTCTCATTAAACAGTCAGTGCACATACTGTTTTATGACATTGGTTAACAACCGCACGACATATCACCACTCTCCCTTCTCAATCTTGGAGGACCTTTTTTTTTCTGGTGAAAATATGCATAGCCAAAGATACACCATTTCAAAAATTTCTACATGTACAATTCAGTGACATCAATTACTTTCTTCCAGTTGTGCTGCTATTCTCACTATCCTTTTCCAAATTATTCCATCACCATTATCTTCAACTCACTGTCCCCTAGGCTTCCCATCAAACCT